GAAAGTTTGGCCTGATGGTGGCAACAGAAGGACTCCCCCGGTGTAAGTTAAAGGAATAATGTTTGGGAAATATACAAAAGTTCAATCTCTCACGTCTTCCGTTATTATACCAAGACTAAATCACACATTGGCACCTTTACACTTCGTTTTTTGTAAGGATTAAACAAAAAAGATATTGTGTTAATTGGTGTGCTAAGGGCTTTTTAAGAGCACTTACTCACCTGTTCTCTCCTGTTGCCAGTCATTATGCTAAGCTAAGGTAACTGTCTGTTGGCTCCAGATTCATATTATTATTTCAGCCCACCTTTTAGCACATTTTACAATGTGTATTGATTGCTGTGATGGACAGACATTAATCTTTTCATCTGACTGCAAGAAAGCAAATAAAAGTTCTAAAAACTTCCAAAACTTCTAACGATTCCTTAAATTAAAAGGGTTTAGACTGGAAATCATATGGGATGGATGTTACTTCCCACATTTACAACTTGCAATTCCTGTTACAGTAAAAATACAGTGAATGTTCAATATAACTGACACTGATTCATTTACATTTGAGTTTAAATACCTTGAATACATACTGTACTTTGACATGAGGCATCCATATTTGCTTATTCAGGCACTATTAAGTGTCACGTCGGATATATCAAGCTGTCACACACACACACAAATCTGAGTTTCACAGTAATTACAACTTGGATATTGACATTAATATGAACTAGCTGACAAGCTGAAAGCTGGTCACTAATGTAACCTTCGTATTGTATAAATGCAGCATTAACTTCTGCACAGTAAACATATTAGGACACATCAGGACAAGACAGCTTGACCGGTTCAGTTCTACAATGTGCAAAGGCTGCATGCTGTACTAAAAAACTGGGATAGTGTGGCAATATTTTTCAATTTTCTGACCATTCTGTTCTGTGTGTGCCAGCCCTTCCTAAACTTAAGTTACACAGCAGTTAAAAAACAAAAACAAACAGAAGATGAATGTAATAGTGGTCTATGTGAATTGAAATGGAAAGTTTGACTCTGGTAATGGGCTCTCATTTCCCATTACAGATGATGAGAGAGAGAGAGAGAGAGAGAGAGAGAGAGAGAAGCTACATCCAGCATAGTTGTAAATACAGAGTCTAGGCTGAAACCAAACTGGGTTCATCTTCAATTGTTGAGTTAACTCATTCAATCTAGAAATGATAGACTTGCTGGATGTGGAGAGTCAGAGACCTGCCTGTACCTTGTAACTTGCATAATGCTAAAATCATGTAAGAAGGTATATGCGTGTTCAGGTTTCTTTATATATCACTTTAAATGTTATATCCTGAATATAAGACCGAAGACTCATTTCACACACACATAAAAAAAAGTCAACTCCAAAGGACAGGCGGCATCCCGACTGACTGTAATGCCTAAAGCTGTACAGCTAAAAATGCATGGACTGTATATCACTGGTTTGGACTTACTGGTGGACTGGTTTTATCAGTTAACCAATATAAAACTCAGTGAAAACACACACAGAAAATAATTAAATTACTTTAGATTTTTAATCTAACATGACTGTCAAGTCAACGGTTCTGTCAGTAGTTGAAGTATGATTACCACAGTAAAAGCCCTGCATGAGGAAAAGATTTGGCAGTAAAAATGTAAATTATCAGAAGTAAAGTCATGATCAGATGATTTCCTTTCAGTGGTTATCATTGATCTGTTACTCTGTAATAAGTACTATGACTCAACTAAACTGGAATGCCCTCTCAAACATTACCAGTCAAGTAGTGACTACGGACCAAGAACACCAAAAATGATGCATGAATAAACTGCATTACCAATTGCATTTATTATAAAAGTTTAATTAAAAACTAACACATGTAATACACATTTGGAATAAGCTGTATGTGGGCATGCATAACTTCACACGCCACACCCTATACAATTGCTTGAGCACATAATGTTTGTTTTTGTCAGTTTTTCATTAATTCGTCAATCTTATTACTTTTTTTAATGCCTGACAAAATGAGGTCACCCAACTTCCTTCGCATTTAAATGCACATAGGACCTCACGGGTAACTTCTAGATTTTTCAACCTGGACCTATTTTCCAGTGTTTTTGTGTCTGACTAACGGGGACTGGTCTAATATTGAGTGAGCACGCTACACTCGGCAGCAGTCAAATCGGGCTGCGATGTAATCCTTGTGGGAATTTGCGCATCCAATTAAGTGCTTGTTTTTGACAACATTATGGAAATTATACAGAGATAGATCTTTTTTAACAAGTAAGATCCTTTTCATTTAACCAGAAACAGTACTGTATCTCTCTGTCCAAAGCCATCTGACTCCCTTGACAAAAACAGAAATTTTACTTCACAGAACACAGGGGTTGCAGGTCTCCCACTGCCTCAATCAGTTAGTTTGTGAGTCAAGGGACTCTGATGGCTTTTAACTAAGAGATATAGCAGCAGTTGCTGGTTAAACGGATCTTAGTCCTTTAATTTTACAACTTGAGCATGGTATTGTATACCTTTATAGTTTTTTGCACCAACTGAAATGTGTCCATATCAGAATCTTAGATTAGCATGAGCATGTTAGCATGCTCAGCCATGTTAGTTTACTCAACCATCGCATGAATATGTTCCACTGTAGCTTACTACCTCCTCTGTGAAGCGTATCATTTCGGGAAGCCCCGGACACACAGGTGCACAGGTCTGGGATGTTTTCCAACTGTTGATACTTTGTGGAGACACACTTGTGTTTGCAAATGTTTTCCAGTGTTTATTAGAATTCATGCAGTATTGATGTTATAGCTGTAATAACTAGTGCTCATTTGTTTCACAGTGTGGTCCCTGTGAGGCTCTGTTATTCTGAATAATCACTCAAAATAAACCTGACCTTTTTCATATTCACTGACTCTCATCTTTTTTCAGTGGAGTAATAGGTGATGAATCATAAGGGAACTGGCCTATTGACATTTTATGGCACACTATTCCATTGTCTACCTGTCAAATTTATGCCTGACAAAATAAGCTCTAAATCAAATTCTTTTGTTATGGTGATTGTTTGGCAAATATTGCTCTAATATCTTGTGACTTAATGTTTCAGGCTTAATATCAGGTTAGTAGGGTAATTTTTTCTCAGACTCGGGCCTGGAGGGAGTCGTTTACTCATGTGAACAAAAGTAAAGGTGCTCATTATTTGGCAGCAGTGATACAGTACAAACTTACAATGGCATATGACCTACTAACTAACACGTGTTTGCGTTCGTGTGTTAGTGAAGTTGCCAGCGCCTCCGCTTGTTTGTTATACAGTAAATACAGCTAGAAGTTAGGCCTCCATTCGTGGAACATCCCTCATCTTCAGCCTCACACTGCCCATTTCGTCTCCCTGTGAGCAGTCAGCTGCAACTGGAGAGAGGCTTACAAACCTACATATCAGGCTGCCTTTTTATCAACTATAGATATCAGCCAGTTAGCATATCCAGTGTGACAGAGGTTTTCGTTCCTGACAGCAGGGGACTGTTTTATGAAGCAGGTGTGTGTGAATAATTCCTGGAGACCCATCAAATCTGGAACAGGGTTTGTGTGAAAAGCCTCCTCCTGGTTTTACTCTGTATTTTCTGACAATTTGAGGGTTTGTAGCAACCCAGGAGGTGTTTAGAATGTACAATTTAAAACATACACAGAGTGGGAATTTTACAGACTGATTCCATTATTTTGATATTTATTGTACGTAAATGTGGCTACACACAAAATAAATGAATAAAAGCTAGGGCTTGGTCACGTTATTTGTACTTTTTTTTTTGTTACATGTTGAATGAAATGAAAAAATGAAATACAGTCATGTATTAGTATTAGTATTTTTAAAAAAGGTCATATTCAAAACAATTATTGAAGACTGGTATAACACACCCAGCTTCTGTCTCGACATGTGAAACCCTAACTGCTCAAAAAAGCCCTAAATCAAGAGAAAAATCTGCAGATTTTCAATGTGAATCTCATTTTGCTAGATGTACTGCACATTCACCTGCACATATACCCACACACAAATACACACACACACTTCCAAATATAGAATGTAAAATATTAAGCTAAAGAGCCTCCTCAGATGACAGTGACGATATGAGGGATACGGAGGACTTTCATCTGAGTCCAGACAAACTGAATTGTTACTGTTGGCTAAAGAATTCACTTCTCCAGATAAAATTCCAGTGACAAGACAAAAAAACTGGAGTTGGAGACAGACCATCTACCTTAACTCAAGGCAATGTTAGAGAGATATTAAGGTGTTTGTCTAAATAGGGCACAGTATCTATGGTTTAGTTTTCTGAGACAACGCCAAGACATGGCATTCCAGAAAGTCACTGTTCCCTTTAAAACTGCAACTTGTCCTTGTCCTACGGATTAAACAAACAAGATATAGGGTGCTAATTAGTGATCTTTAGAAGTGCTGGTACGTAGATTTCTTTAACCTTTGGACAAAGCCATAGCTGTTTCCCTGTTTCCAGTCTTTGTGCTAGACTAAGCTAAGCTAACTGACTCCAGCTTCATATCTAAGAATCTAAAAAAAATAAATAATTATTGCTGTTTTGCACTTATAACTTCCTGTTTTTGCAAGATGTGGCAGAAGTCAGCAAACCAAAGTTGCTAGTGAACAAATATCTGAACAAGCAAATTTGAATGTGATTTCCTACTTTTGGACGTTGACATGTGTTTCTGTCCATCACTGCCTTTAAAAAAAGTCACAAATCCCATGACAGTTCCTAACACACTAGGCGCATGTGGAATACTTCAGCAGTAGTGTTTACTCTCAGAAACAGACTTCATTACACTCACAGCAAGAATTAACAGACACAGAATAAAGATCACATGATTTCTCATTCACTACTCAATGGTGGCAGACATGCTGTCACGGTAGCATCTGTTTACTAACACACTCACACACACACACAGCTCTCCTCCTCACCCACACAGACATTTCACTTAGTGAGTATAAATTGTAGTCTTTTGTATTTACCTCACACATTTTCTTCTACCCATTTTTCCCTCTGCAGTCCAAGATGGAGTAACAGAGCCAGGTGACACTAACTAGCTCTGCTATTAAAGTTGATAAGAATCCAGTGAACGCGGGCTGAGCAAATATTCAGGATCCACTCTCCTTTGTGACAAATAGTGTCACAAGGGAGACAGTGGATGTGTTCATTGGTTGTGTTCACACCCTAAACACACCCACAGAGTGACAGGTCCATCCTGTAGGTGGTTAACCTTTAAACCCATATCCAATAAATAATAATAAAAGAGGTCAGAATAAAACTAGTGACAGTAGCTGCTTGTCTTCATCTTTTGTCATGCTTTTTGTTTTTATAAATATCTGCCAACTCAGCAGAAAGAACAGGTTCAGGAGTGCATTTGCTGTATTGCACAACGTCTATTATTGCTTGGCAGTGGTGGTGGTGGTGAATAAACCAGCAAGCTTCATGTTACAGTATGACTGGGTTTTGAGTCAGGCCTGATTGCACGTGTTGCTACTTGAAGATTTTCTTGTCAAAATGGTCTCTGACAGATCTGGAAATCTAGCTCCATATTGCAATCTGATGGGCTAGTTTAAACAATCAGCAATACAAGCCAGAGTGGCAGAAAGCGGGGACTCAATATGGCGGTTATTATGTCAGAGTTGAACAAAGAAACCAAAGTTATACTGGATTAAAACAAAACATGCTCATGAGTTGTTGTGTTTTTAGTCTCATTTGAAAGAAAAGAAGATTTTTCAGTTACTGTGTAAAAACATGGTCACATGAGGCTCTTAAAGGTTGTAACATAGGATAAAAGCTGATGCAAATAAGTACAATCTAATTATAAATCTTCAGTCCAGTCTTCCAATGTGCAGTGGTGGAAAGTAAGTACATTTACAAGTACTCAAGTACTGTGCAAATTTTTACATACTTAACATCCGTCTCATTTGCACTCAAATATTGTACTTTTCAGGAATGTACTGGGACTGAAATTCAGCCCGGGACTTTGAGACGGAGAGGCCTTCTATGCGAGCGCCCTTTTGGGGGAGGCATAAATATTTTTGCAGTTATTTTAATACATATTTGTGTTTTTGTTGTATACAGTGAATCAGATTACGCTGAAGACCTTCAAGAAACTTCAGGATGACACCTGCCTGTTCAGTTTGTGTAAGCAAGGCAGCTCTGCACTGAACAAGACCAGGTCAGGCAAGCCTGATTCAGTCACAGTGCTAACATACTTAAATGTACTCAAAAACTACAATACATTCTCAATAAAATACAGCAGTGCGACGGGCCCGCCGAATCTCCGTTCGTGGGTCGTCTGTTATGATAAAATTGAGAAATAAAGCTAAATTTAGGTAAGATGTCTATGAAGATTCTCAGTCATCCAGGTCATAGTTATCCAACGAAGGTTAAAATCAAGGGCAACTGGACTTGGTTGAACGAACCAGCGGTATCGATGACCTTGGCCAACGACCCCACTGAGGTTAAATAGCTGAGTTTCCCTGCCAGTCAGTCAGAACTGAAGAAGTCCTTTGGATGAGGGACGAAACGTCTTCCAGTATCTTCAACCAAGTCCAGTTGCCCTTGATTTTAACCTTCGTTGGATAACTAAATTTAGGTAAGGTTCTGCTGGGGAACAGGCTTCACCAAAACAACAAAACCAGGCTCAGACCAGTACTGTTTATAAAACCAGTGAACCTTAAATTAAAAACAATGAACACAAACACAATTAAAAGACCTAAAATGATAAAAAGAGTTCTCAGTCATTTATAATAAACTCAGTAGTTATTCTTAAAAAAATCCCCGTTTATCAGTCCATCGGCCCGCCGCCTCTCTTCCACTGCTCTCGATGCTCGTTCCTCCTCTCGGCAGTGGCCAGCAGCAACCTAGATGACAGGATGCTCACGGCAGTCACAGAGTTCCGCGCAATACCTTCCCCCACAATAGTTCCACTTGGCGTAATTAAATTATATAACAACTTTAAACTAACAAAAAAATGTGCATGCAAATTAACAACTCTAGTCTCTATAATGTACTGGGCTCGCTCCTCCAAATACTACAAGTTAAAAATTACGACTAAAAAGTAACAGCTTGTTCTCTGGGGACGTCAGAACAGGCAGATAGCAAATGAAAAGGTGTGCGAGAGCTACTTACAGGGAAGGAGGGGGGGAATGAATTCCAACCCCTCCTTGTGTCTCCACAAAGGTCGCTTCTTACTCCAGATACTCTGAGACGTCTCCTCTTGGCTCCGGGCCGCTGTATCTAACCAAAGGGTTACTCTGGAGTACGGTGGACTCTCTTCCGAAGTCTACCTCGGTCCCTGTCTCGTCTCTGTCTACGTCGACTCTCCGTCTAACGTTACCGTCGTCTGTGGTGACCACCATGTTCCTCCGGCTTCTTTCCTCTGGCGTCACTGCCGTTCTCGGTCCCACGGTCCAATTCTTCCCTGCTTCCGCGTCCCTCCTGTGTTTCTCCCGTCTCCTTATAAAGGAAGACCTGGCAACAGACTTCCCACACCCACACCGGTAGCCATTCACCACTAACGAGGGGGCGTGACCCTACGCTGCTCCAAATCTCACACACACACACACACACACACCCGTCACCCCAGTGACATTAATTCTTATATTTTCGACTTCATGCAGGTTGTAATAGAGGGATCAAGTGAGCCGCCACAGAAAGCGGGGCAGCCTGCAGCCTGAGCAAACCTGCCATGTTAGCAGTCAGTCTATTTCAGATGTTGGACTAAAAATTATACTGTGTCCCCTCTGGCTTCTGATGCTTTTTCCTGCTTATGTCATGCAGACAGCTAAAACCATCAGTAGATATGAATTTTACCCCTATGGGGGATGGAACATGTGAATATTCATGCACACCAGTGTATACAAACCTCTGTGATCTGATCAACATCTGAAATTACACTGCTATTTACAAAGACAATGGTTATACAGGCATTATGCACATATGGCCTAAGCGAGGTTTGTTTCATTGAAGTGTAACATTAATGCATTAAAATGATTGCCTGTCCCACAGCTATGCTACACTTTTATAAGGGATGGAAAATCATACATGCAAACCAGTCCCCTGCCTGCCTAACTTGCACGCTACCAAACCTAACCTATTCGCCTAGAGTGTAACCGGTCGCAGCACCCATCTTCACTCAATCCTGCACTGATGCGCCTGTACAGAAATGCCACAGATGCCTCTACATGTAAAGTTACATGTTCTACTTTCTAATTGTTATGTTTAGTGTCAGATGTTTCTTGATAATATCCTGTAACGAATATAACAATAATCTTGAACTGTATGCTGCTGCCTTTTAATATACAGTCTATGGCTGCTGCCCGTTTAAAGTGTATCCCCTCTTATTAAGGTCATGTCTACTGTGATGTCCCTTCTTCATCATGTCTCCTGCGTTTCCCAATTGTGTGTGCTTTTCCTTTTTTGTCATATTGAAATGTGCAACCAACACATATTCTTATTTGAGAAAATATCAAAAATGTCAAAAAATGTCAAAAACATAATAGCTTTAGATGGAGCTTTTCATAGGCTGAGGTAATATAAGGTGAATAAGCACAAGGGGGACCACAATATGAATAAAGCTTTACAATGGTATGCTATATTTATTAAATTTAAATAACTGAGCAATGTATGAAAGATTGGGAAGTGATGTTAGGACTGAACAATTCAACAAATGTTTCTGTAGCATCAACTACATCTTTGGTAATCTGGGGGTGAAGGGATGTAAAACCTTAAAATGATTGAAAATACAAGAATTTAAAATTGTCTCTTTAGTCTCTGTGCTTCAGAAATCAAGAAAGTGCACGCATTTTCAAATAGTTGTTAGTATAGTTAGAATGCTGTACCCTCACTGGATGAATCATTCATGGCGCAGAGGCGACATCGACCAATAACAGTTTTACTTTGTCGGAGATACGTCATAATGTCAAGCTCGTTTGGAAGCAGACAGTCTGGATAATGTCCCGCAAAATATATCTACGATGATTGACATTCAGCTTTATAGCTTTCACTAAAGGTAAAATAATAATTTTATTTTTCAACTCAACCTCTCATGAGTTAAGCTAAGCTAATTGAGTAAAGGGCGGCAGCTTGCAAAACGTTACGTTTTATTTTCCATTTGTAACTTATCAAAGTCTGTCTGGCGTTTACAATAGCTAACGTAACATTATGCCAGTCCTAATTAAAACGTTATTACATTATCCTTCAGTGTGAATCATGCATTCATTGTAACGTTTCATTACGGTAAGTTACATTTGTCAGTTGTCATTACATAATTAAACAATAACATGCCATTCCCACTTGCTAATAAATAAAAAGCTGTGGCAGGTTGGAATCTGCACTGACAGAGACATATTTGTGACAGCTAGTTAACGTAACGTTAAGTATGCTAGCGGTGGCACGTTTAGCCAGATAGCTTGATACTAATATGAATTAAAGAAACGTGAAATGCTCTGCTGCGCCTAATGTTACTGTTTCCTTACCAGCGTATGCCGTGTACTAAGGTTACCTTACTTAGTAGGACATGTATCTCAATTTTTGCTAACGTTAGCTCAGATAACTAAGTCCGTTTTTCTTTCTGAACAGCGAACCAGACTCATCACCAGTGAATCATGAGTGAAAATAACGATTTGGGATTCAGAAAGGAGACTCCGCTGCGGTCTGGACAGAGTGGACCACTTCGAAAACTTCTGCATGAGTATTTGAAAAATAAGTCACTGAATTTAATATTTAGATGGACTATAGAATGCTCAAGCAAAGATAATTTTCTTAAATAAGTGAATAGTAGTAAGTTACAATTTTCTGGAAGAGTAAATCACTTGGACAGGTAATGTTATATTTTGCATTTTTGTTTCATTTGTCCATAGATAATCAATCAAGGTAAGTTATAGCATCAGTCAATCTGTTCAAAGCTTTTACCCTCATGGAGAATGAAATGATTTATGTATATGCAAATTTGCAACAAGATATTTACCAGAAATTCCAAGTTGGGAGGAGGTTTTGTTCACAGCATCAGTTGCCTGAGTTACTGATCTAGGGATTATCTGATCTTGCTCTCTGAAACAGAAAACCCAGACGTTCCCTCATCTCAGGCTTAACATACTCAGAATTTGCACTAATTCCGCTTTCTGAAATGGGGCCCTGTTCTGACAGACGCTGTGGTCTCTTGAATGCCCAAGACAAAATTATTCCAAGGGAGACAATAAAGGCTAGGCCAATTATCCTCTTCCCACTGCCTCTCCACAGGGGTGCGACAAGGCTCAGTGCAAGAGCCCCTTCTCTTCTCAATCTACACCACCTCACTGGTGCCGATCATTGGCTAGCACGGCTTCTCTTACCACTGCTATGCAGACGATATGCAACTCTACCAATCCTTCCCGCCAGACGACCCCACCGTCTCGGCGCGGCTCACAGGCTGTCGGACATATCTGCATGGATGAAGGCTTGCCACCTTCAACTAAACTTCTCTAAGACTGAACTCTTGGTGATTTCAGCCAAGCAATCTATCCACCATAACATCAAACTACAAATTGGCTCCTCAACCATCACTCCAACCAGGGTGGTGAGAAACTTGGGTGTCATGATTGATGACCAGCTGTCCTTTTCAGACCATGTTGCTGCTGTCTCTCGGTCATGCCGCTTTGCTCTATACAACATAAGGAAAATCAGGCCCTACCTCACTCAATATGCCACCCAGCTTCTAGTACAGGACATGGTTATCTCTCGCCTCGACTATTGCAATGCCCTCCTAGCAGGTCTTCCAGCTTGTGTGGTGAAACCCTTACAAATGGTTCAGAACACAGCAGCGCGTCTGGTTTTTGATCAGCGCAAAAGGACTCACTCCATTGTGACTTACGTCACTCCATTACTCAGTGACCTCCACTGGCTCCCCGTGGCCTCCAGAATCAGATTCAAGTCACTAATGCTTGCATACAGAGTGACTACTGGGTCTGCACCCATCTACCTAAACTCCACAATACAAACTTACGTTCCTTCTCGGCCACTACACTCATTCCAACGAACGCCGCCTGGCTCTGCCATCCCTTCACACAAAGCAATTCCAGTCTCATCTGTGACACCATGATGGTGGAACGAGCTACCATATGCCATCAGAGCTGAGGCGTCACTCTCTAACTTCAAGAAGCTCTTGAAAACTTCTCTTCCGAGAACACTTCCTCTTATAACACCGCTAACTCCTAACCTCTAACATGCACTTCCTGTGCTCTTCTTCTATCTACTACAATTATCTTGTATTGATTGCACTTTTTTTTGTTAACTCTTACTTCCTTCCCTAGGTATTTACCCCAATGATGTGATATGAACTATGAGCTCTTACCAGTATTTATTGCTGCTCTCACTAGTATGTATTGTCAGTTGTAGATCTGTATTTGCTTTGTTGATGTTTGTATGCTGTTCCGCAAATGTAAGTCGCTTTGGATAAAAGCGTCTGCCAAATGAGTAAATGTAAATGTAAATGTAATCCTTTCTTTAGTGAAAAGTCGAGATTTTGGAACCAGCCAAAGGATCTCAAGCAGCAATCAGACTCATATGGAGTTTGTAGATCACAGATATAGGCAGGAGTCTGACCAACCAAATAAGCAGTGAAATCAATTCTAAAACACACAGGTAACCAGTGAATGTCAGAAAGGACTGGTGTGATGTGGTCACTTCTCTAAGTTAAAAACCTGGCAGCAGTGTTGTGCGAAAGTTGTGTCTTTGAATGTTTTACCTGCTGATATCAGAATAAATCACATAAGTGATACAATCCTTTAAAGAGGTGGTATTATGCTTTTTGGCCTTTTCCCTCTCCTTTATTGAGTTATATATCTTTTTTGTGCATGTCACAGGTTTGCAAAGTGAAAAAGCCCAAAGTCCAGCCCAAAGGGAGTTCCCATCTCCCACAGAAAACTCTGCTCTGAACCGCTTGAAAACAGCTCGTTTGTAGTTCAGCCCTTCACTTCCTTTACTTGTGACGTCACAATGAAAACGCATCATAAAGCTTAACAAGCGGCTAGCGGGGTCAGGCACACCCTCAAACCAAGCTAGTCTGAGCAGAGGCCCTTTGACTCGCCTTTGTTTGGTTTTCTATCGTAGAAATGTTGTACCTGTGCCTGCTTCCAGGTACTTTTTTTCGTAACACCTCACCTCCATTGAGGTTCCAAGCGAGCTGAGGGAAACTAAAATGTAACGTGAAAACACGACAGACTGCTGATTGGTCAGAGAGAATATTCACTATTCACTGCATCATCATTGCTGCACCAGACAGAGGCCAGCAACAGAAAGTTTTAGATTTTACAGTTTTCATATGGAATTTTATCACTAAATTTACTTCTGAGAAGTTTTGAGGTGAGAAATCAGCTGTGTAGATTTCGAATATTGACAGTTTTACGAGAAGTGATAGCGGAACAAAAATGTGCTTGAATATTTTCGGAATTGAGGAGCTCCGCAAGTGGCTGCCGGGGAAGTCTGTGCCAACCCGCGGGAGGAGCGTGTGAGGCCGGCCAGCCGCCCGCTCACAGAGCCCTCTGCTCCCGCCGTCACACAGACCGCTGCAGCAACAACGGCAGAGGAAAACACAGCTGGAAGGTTTTCATACCGCTTATCTGTCTTCACAACCTGTAAGTATGCTTTATTGGTTGTGAATTATATTTAAAATAAACACGGCAATGTAACTTCACAGAGTGTTCAAGTGCGGAGTTGTTGTAAACGTTGGCTAACAGTGTTATAATGCTAATGTTACACCCGATGTGAAAGCTACTGAGCAAACGTTCAGATTGTTTGGCCAATTTATGTTATGGTGATTTTTGTAGTCGTTTATGGTAAGATGTGGAACAATGATGTTGTGGACTTGTGAGTAACTTACACCATCTGCTAGGTTACGGTCACAGTCTGAAGCGGCTTTGATTTGGATCACACTACCTTGTTTACGACCCGCCCTTCTCTGCTTCTGATTGACTAGTAGTCCTTACCTGGGAACTGCGCACGTGCAACTCCCAACAAAGATCTTGTACAAGTAAGATGCATCACTCTGTAGCTCAAGAGACACATAAGTCATGTGTACACTTTTTTTTTCTGTCCCAGGGGTAGCATGTATGTGGTAAATAAGAGGGGAACCAGAAAAGAGAAGAGCGTGAGAGGAGGCATCTCCAAGCATTACAAAGATGGACCTGTTCAGAGCCATTTCACTGATGCCAACATAGCTTCCAGAAAGTTGATTAAGACATTATGATTCACTGTGTCCAAGGCTGAACTAAGGTCAAGGAGGATCAAAATGAAATACAAGCCTGTGTCAACAGCAAGCAGTAAGTCATTTGTGACCTCAGTTCTGTGTAGAGAGCAGAGAGCAGAAACCAGATTGAAAATGTGATTGCAGTTGAAATATTTTTTCTAAAATCTTAAATAAATGGCATCTTAGAAATGGTTCAAAAATGACTTAAAGAGAAGTATCTAGACAGGGTTATTTAAAAGAGGACATACACAGTGGCATGTTTAAAATTGGAGGAGAAAATGCCAGTAGATAGAGCAGTCAGTCTGTTTTAATGTGCTGTTGAATATCCCATTATGTTACAAAGGTAACACAGACTATGTGGTTTTAAATATGATTGTGCAATAATGTCCGTTTAGCAATCAGTTCTAAAGTATCTTTGCACGTCTTTGATTGCACGCTGATAAATGGACAATAGATCTTTTGAGAGAAGCAAGAGAGACACTGTGATTATCCTTCTATTTCCGCTCTGCTGGCAAATCTAAAAACCCATTGCATTTTTTAGATTTCTTGTTTCTTAATTTAACCATGTTCGAAAAGATATCAGATTTTTTATATTTGTGCTGGAGCTGTTAAAAACACTGAAAAGCTCCTCTACGGTGAGGCTTTGGCACTCCATGGTATTAAAAATGTGTTTGAGGCAATAAAAACTTGACAGAAATGAAGACGAGAAAGGGCTGGAGAGAATCAGTGTGGGAGGGTTTGGGGTCAGGAGAGAGAATAGCCTTATGATCAGAGACCGCAAAAACTACCATATTAACATCTTCTACACAGAAACCACAAAGAGAGCATAAGGTCAAATGTGTGTCCTTTGTGGTGGCTGGGATGCTTAACATGTAGGGTAAAATTAAATCTAAATGTTTGTTACAATCAGAAGACATGTATATTAAAAGAATGAATGAGAACTCAAACAAAATGACAAATGATAAGTCTAAGATTAAAACATAAAATAGAACATTTATTCTTTAAAATAAAACTAAGGCTTGAAAAGGTGGAGAAACAACCAGACTGGAGAACAAATCACCTCCTTGGCCTGTCAGTCTTGGCTGGTAGAAGAATAAATCTTGTGGTGGTGATGAGTCAATGAGAGGTGCACATTCATCAGGATTAATCCAGGACTATGTGATGACAAAAAATCTACAGTGGCCATGATAAAATGCTGGGAGATGTAAGATGTATTTGCAAGGGATCTTACGTAAACAGACAAGAGCTGATTAAACAGTGGGGACAGTTGAAGTTGTTTTAACTGTGATGAGATTGTTTCTATGTGAACTGCAAGTAGATTACTGCCTCTCAGTAATGCCAACAGGAATTAATGAATTATTGAGGGAGACAGGTCTGTACAGTCCAGAGCCAGGCTGCTGGGCTGGGTCTTGCTGGGGAAACCATAAATTAAAGCAATGAAGTTAATACAATTAATGTTCCTGTTCCTGCAACCCATCATATTTAAAAATATACCACTTGCTCTAGAAGGAATCAAAATTACTAATCAAACAAGTCCAGAAGCAGTTGTAAAATTTTACTGCCATGATGCGGACTAAAAAGACGATTAGACCGTTCAGAGCTCTTGCTCACGGTTGGAGTGGGACTGAACAGGACACACCATCTCCCCAGGCTTTTGACTGCGGAGGCTAGAGACTCAAGTTAATATTGTAGCTTAATAGATCAGTGCCAGCATGCACTATCACAGTGTGGATGGAGGCAAGAATGTCAAAAAAGCCAGAATTAGTACCATAAAATCCATAAGATCTGGCATTGAATAAAAGCATCTGCCAAATGAATAAATGTAAATTTTGACACTTGAAGGTAGGGTAAGCGCCCAAGTCTGTAAACAGGAAACAAACAAGGTGGGCCGCACCCTGCCACACAACATTCCAGTCGTTTCAGCCATGATGATGCATGTCAGATAAAGTTTAATATGCCCACGTACATTTAGTTTAATTCCAAGACATGCTGTTGTTGTGAGTTTAGCTGTAATACCTGGAGAGTTGTGAAAATCGGTTAGGAGCTGGTGTGCTGGCTCTGGGACCGTCTCTTTCTTTTTGCATGTTAGCTTCGCAGCAGCAACTTTACAGACAGTATGCTAACCCACAACTTAGTTAATGTTATTTACATGTTATTTCCACCTTTAATTTGGACCCTGCTTTCTTACTAACTGAATCTGAACTGGAGTCAGTTGGCAGACAAATCAACCTTTTCAAATCTCTGTGAAAGCATGTTGTCACTTTGCATAATGTTTTGGCTGTTTCAGACTGGCGTTTTGATATTTGTGTTAAAAAGGTTGAAGTGTTAAACGTGTCAGCCCTGGAACACAGCCCAGGTTTGTCAACATCCAAGGCCACACCACTTCCATTAAGCTCCCTCTGAGAACATCCATCACAACAACACAAGTACACAGTAGGTTTCTAGAATATACACGGCACAACTGCATGTCTCCCAGCACGCAGATTAATATCATACAGCATGATAATCAAATATGACATAGAATACAGATTGTTCTTAATTTTCCATCACAGCCAAAGGACATATATTTTATGAGTGTGTACTTTCTTAAGGACCGGGACAAACAGAGACAAGTAATAAGCAGAGTGCCGTGACTGTGGCAGCTCAGTTCATGTTCTCATCATTCAACTGACTTTTTATTTCCCTTCATTTCCTACAAGGAGGAATAAAGTTAATTGAACCCACTTTTCAAGAATTAGGCCAAGGCCTAAACAGGAGGAAAACACAAATTATCCCTAAAATGAGCAATTAGTAACATACCCTGTCTCTGCTGTTGTCTGTGTTACAGAACAGTTCCAACTGGTAATTCGAGGGGTTAATGTGAAATTGTGTTTATCCCCTTTGTTACTTTTTGTGTGTTTCTAATGACTTCCCTGATTAAGTTAATTAGGGTTTCATAACTGTGAAGTTAATTTAGGTGATGAGATTAACTCATGACTTCTAAGAGGAGGGGGCTATGGAAATAACGCTGGATGGTGGCTGCTAACCACTGGCCCAAAGCATACAATGCAATTTCATACTGAGATATTTCCATGTCTAACAGCTGGAAAGGTTTTTCTTTGAATAGCTGAACAGTCATAAAAGGAGAGACATCTCTGGTATGTCAGCCTGCCTTCATGGCAGATGAGACAAAGATACAGATTTCTTCACTAAGAGTTATCTTAATATACCAGAGTGTCGTGCAGTCACAGCTTGTATATTTGTACATCAGTCACTGGTGAAATTGGTTTTCTTAACTGGAAAAAAAATCCTTCTTTCTTCCTTCAAGTAATTTTGAAAAACAGAAATTACAGTTTGGGAGAAGCTGAAATTTCATGTGAAAATAACACCTTGAAGTGCAATGGGCACGAAAATCTAATAATAATTCAACTAATGGAAATATTTACAAATTTGTAAGTTTCTCAAATATGATTCTAAAATCCTGGTGACATGGTATAGAAAAACCATAGTGTGATGACTCTGTGACTTTGATAAATGGCTCCATTTGCTCCAACAATCACTCAGCTCCTGCTGGTAGACCCTCCCTCTACTCACATGATGCTCCCCATCCATCAACGTCATGTTTCTGAGGTGTCAGAGAGGTCCATTCCTCATCATGTTGATAGAACAGACCACGCTTCATAGTCAAGCACTCAAACATTGTAGCTACACTGTAGCTCTCTAGTTCTGACTACTTTACAGAATGCCACCTCCCCCACATCTCTCCTCATGCTGCAGCTTGTCTTGCATTACGCAGCCACTAAATCACATCGTTGTTGATCCCTACAAACCTTCAGGTTAAGCTTTTTGGTTGTTAGGATCAGAAGTGAGTCATGCCATCTCATGTAGCAGGTTTTTTATGAATGTAGCTGTACAGAGGAGTTTTTTTCAATTAATTACTGGTTGCTTGACTGCCCCACCACAGGTACAAATACTTGTGCAAATCGCATGAAACTCTGAGGTATGTATCATTAAAATACATCTGTAAATACATAAAACAGATGTCTGCAAATTAATGCAGAATCTGTAGGCAAGGAACAAGATTTTCTTCCGATTTCAGTTTGTAGTCCAAGAAGTATTGACCAGTCACATTTGAGTGGGCTTTGGTTGCATGCAGGTAAACAGTGTCCGTTGAGCACAAAAGAGACGGAACGCATTGGCTGAAATGTAATCTTGGAACCTATCAGCTATTGTCCAACAATTATTTAGCTTTTTGTCAATCTCAGAACCCTAGAGATTAGCTTTTTATTAGATTTTTAAAATGCATCTGTATTCAAATTGTCATTGGACAATAGCTAATAGGTTCCAAGATTGCCACTCGGACTGTAAACAATGACTTCCACTTGGAAGAGGAAGTCTTGGCCCAGATTTCCTTTATCTGGATTTCCGCAAGCTACACCGGAAGCCCCAAAACATTGGCTGTCACCCCCAGGGATTGCCAGAGGTTGTGACATTCCCACCAAAATGACCCGAAATGTTTCAGGCAATAGATGGTCTTAAGTGTTTCAAAGTGTTAATATGAAGAGAAGTCCAGAGAGCCTTTTGATTAATTTGGAGATATACTTTCATTACAAATAAAGCAGTAATTTCAAACGCATCTATTCATCCCAGTATTACATACATTACAGTATGTAATCATTCTCAACTCCGCAAACTTCATAGTTTCTGAGATTCCTGCTTGCAGATACATGTTTTTACATCTGACAACAATGGCTACAATCTAGATTACATATATTCACATTCACTCATGACCAGCATCTATTACAGAAGAGCAAACATCACTTTATGGTGTGTAGTGACACCATTTCCTCACTGTTTAAGGGTTATTCTTTGCCCACTGGCTTCACCCACCATTATATAGCAAGAACTTCAAAGCCCCAGTCCATCTTCCATAGGTCCCCATGCACCTTTAGGTGACTTAATAGTTATGATACTTTAAAAGCGTTTCATCTGTTATCTCAACCTCTTAAAATCTTTGTTCCTTCTCAATCCATGTGCCTTATCGCTGCCAGAAAAAGCAGTCCGTCCCTTTCTATCTGGCACCCAGCACCCTCCTTGTGCTCCTCACTGGGGTCCCAGTCCTCCCTGAGCGCTTTGGCCTTCGCTGTGGTCACTTCCCCACAGCCGGTAAAACTGGCTGAAGTCCACGTAAGGTGGGACCCTTCCCGTCTCGTCGGGCTGAGCCGCCTGGCTGCCTCTCTGGCGGAAGAGGCTTCCATCTCCCGAGCTGGAGCTGGAGCTCTGCGTCTGGGTGTTGGTAGACTGGAGGGTGGCTGTGGGGCTCTGACTGCTGGGAAAAGCGGAGGAATAGAAGAGGGAGGAGACAGGTGGTTGGTTGGGGAGGGTGGAAAAAGAGGAGAAGACAGGTATGAGGGTGGGAATAGAGGAGGAAGAAGTGGGGGCGTCAGAGGAGAGGAAGGGATCCATGAACGGGGTGGAGAGACAAAGGAGAGAGGTGGAGAGAGGGAGAGGACGGGGAGGAGGAGCAGTGGTGGAAAGAGAGAATAGGGAGGTGGAGAGAGAGAGAGAGGACGGGGAGGAGAAGGGGTGTTGGAGAGAGAGAAGAGGGAGGTGGAGGGGGGGAGAGGAGGAAGAGGGAAGAGGGGGCAAAGAGGGGAAAGTGGGAGTTCAATTATGGGCTGCAGGATGTCGACGGATGTTTGGCAGGTAGCAAGGTGAAAACTGCTAAAGGAGGGGGAAAGGCAGAGGCAAGGACAGACACAGGACGGATATTGGCAAGTCGGGGCCAATGAGGAAGAGAAATACAGATGCGAGTCAGACAGTGAGTGACAGGGAGATAGAGAAGCAAGCCCTGTGGACAAGTTAGCAAAGGCAAATATGCAGATATGAAGAAAGTGCGCAGCAAAAGAAAAGCAGCAGCCACGTGAGTGCAACTCATGCCCACTTATTTTACACTTGAGATAGTTTCAAGCAGGTAACCTCACTAACTAAAACTACATTCCCAATGATGCTGATGGAAGCTGTCAATGATTCCCACATTAATAATCCCATGTTAGTTATCAGCACTGGCCTAAAACTCCAGTGTTCCTCATTAAAAGATGTGTTTGCTCTTCCTGGTGTTTGTCCTGTTAAACTCGTCACTTTGCATCATTATGACATCATCAAAACAAAAGACTCAAAAAAAAAAATGCCGGGAAGTGTTGAGAAATTCAAAGTGCTCTTTTCTCACAATTACCACTTATAGCCACAGTGGCTCCTGTTCAGCAAATGTAACATACACTCTCCCACTAGAGGTTGGAAAAAGGAAAAGCATACTGTAGTGATACTATCCTCTAGGGTTTTTTAAGGCCTTGTTCAGACTGACTTGAGCCCTGCATACAAAACAAAGCCCTCTCATTCGGGGGGACTGGGACCAGTCTGGAGGCACAGCGGAGGTACCAACACTGGGGAAGGGCTCGATAATAACGATGGCCCCTTGCGCTGATAACATTGCTAAAGTGCAGTTGTTAAAGTTGTATGAAAGCCCATTCTACTCCACACCGCTGTGTGTATGTGTCTGTGTGCGCGTTGCTGCAGTATGTAAATTAACTTTATAGACCTGCCCTGAAGGTAACAAAATAGTTATGTGTGATGGTCAAACAGCAGGAATGAGTTAGCTTGGCAATATGCAACTTTGACTAGCACCAAGCAGCTACCTTGCTCAGACCATAAAGCTGCAGTTAGTGTCTTGTTTTGTTTACTATTACCTTTTTATTTTACTATAATTAAATTGTAATAACATTTTAGTTTTTTTTTAATATCCCGGATGCATTTAAAAATGAATAAACATGTCAATAGAATAACATAATTTTTTAGGTCTTTGGTTTTGTTATAACCATAGACTGTATATAAGTGGACGTAGTCATCGTGACGTCACCTGTTGGTTTGTGGACTGCCGTTTTGAATTCTCAAGTTTGACCGATTGATTTTTTTCAACCAGCGGCACTGGACGTGACCATATTTGGACGAGACTGTGGAGCTAGTGGCCGTGTGCGGAGCCAGCCAGCTTGCTTAGCTAGGTGCATCTACAATTCACGTTGACTGTCATTTTAACAGAGCTGACGGCTTCGTCTAGCGAACAACAGGCTTAAAACTAAATGTACTCACCAGAGAAAGTTAACAGCCAACTCCTAATAAGCTTTTTCAACGACGCTGGTTAAATTTACACAGGGCTGTGGGTACAAGTCACTCTTGCCTGATTGACAGGTCGCCATGGTAACAACTTGTCAATAGATAGATAGATACTCCCACCCTGAAGCATACTCTGCTTTATGGTCCATTTTCTTTTAAATGGGACCATAATTTACTACATGAACATGACATGAACTTTTTTGCAACTGGCCTTGTGAGGCCTGCAGGGTACCCACACAAAAAACAAGTTCTAAAATCCTGTATAAATATTACAAACACTGCAGTGTTTTCGTGTGTCATAAACTTTAAAACACATCTGATACGACAACTGGACTTCCTGGACATAATTTGTTTCTGTAAAAATGACCCCCAAGAGCAGTACTGATTGAATTACATTACATATTCTTTCTTCTTCTTCTCTTTTTTTTTTAAACACATCTTGTCAATTTCAGTTTCTTATATATAAATGTTTATTGTTATGCTTTGTCACCAATGCAAATTCCTTGTATGTTTAAACTTATGTTGCAATAACGCTCATTCTGATTTATATGCTTACATTACAGTATATGGTTTACACTGTATGGTTTATGGGTAGGTTCAGTATTAAAATACTTTTCCAGCTGTATTTGATCAGCTTTCCCTTTCTAGTCTGTTAAAGGAGCACTAGCATGATGCACAGAAAACACAGTGGTGGAACAATGGGGAAGTGAAATCCATGCTTACACACAAATAAGCATAGCAGTGGTGCGACACAGGGGAGTGAAAATCAAGCTTACCTAAAATAAATAAAGCAAGGGAGTGCAGAGTGGAGTCAGTGTAAAGAGTGAACTCAGAGTGAAAAAACAACAGTGGGACAAAAAGCAAAACTCAAGCTCATTCAGAGCATGCACGGCAGGAAAAATAATGTGAAAGAGTAAAAGTCAAGCTTACCCAGACCAAACGTAAGAGTAGCAGGGAACCAGGAAAATACAAGCTTACTCAGGGCAAACAGGGACAAGAAACAAACCAAACATACCCTGGTGTGGGGGTGCCTTCCTCCAGTGTGGAAGCAGTGTTGGTTCCATTGGTGAGGGTACTTTGAGAGGGCATGACCAGTGAGAGGGTGACACTGGTTTTACTAGTGCTCTGGCTGTTGGAGTAGGGCACTGATACAGGGTAGATACGTCCACCTGGTAGAAGGGCAGAGGACAAACATGTAAAAGGTTTATAAAAATCACATTACATGATTAAGTCCGGTTTATTTCAGAAGCATTTATAAAAATTCTTCAAGCTAAAAGTTAAAGGCCGCTGTTCAATTGTTTTGGCAAGAAAATGCCTGCCCGTTTTTTATACTTTTCACAAATACATTTATCAAGACAAACACATCTAGTGTGCAGCCTCAGCATAAAATGGGCACCCTGGGAACTGGGAATAAATCTCTGCCTGGACCTGGTTATTCTGTCTCTATGTAGTATTCTTGGCAGCACATTTCTTTTTGTAAAGGCTCAGATGTGGTTAGACCTAGTATTATTTCAAGATTTCTTTACAAGTGTAGCTCTCCACTGGTGTTAAATTTTCAGTGTAGGATTAGTTTAAATCCATGTCTGAGAAACCAACGCTGAAGTCCTAAAAGTTTAGATTAGGGATCTCCCAATCAAGTTGTTCTGACCTGATCAGAGTCTTTTAACACTGGTCCAATCAGATACTTATATTTACCTAAATGTTGATTAAAAAATGTGACTCACTTAAATAACTGCTGTAGACTACTAAATTTGGCACACCTTATTTTTCACAAGCTAGGTCCTGGTTCAGAAATATAAAGCTGACCAGCTTCATTTATTTATAAGATACTGATTCCTAGTTCTTGTTATAATGATTCTTAGTTCCTAGAGTCTAATATGGTACTATACCATAAATGTTCTAAAGAACATAAACTGCTTAAACTAATTATAAGTTTCTATATTGTAAATATTAATAGCAGCATCCATGAACAACAAGTTACAGATGAACTCCTTATCAAGAGCTGAATAGTTTTACCTCTCCAGGCCCCTAAAAATATTCAAATAAAAAAAAAAAATCATAATTCATAAAAAATATATAAGCTATTACGAGTTGAGTGGTTACAGGCCAAAATGTTTGGGAAGCACGCTTTTTCAACGTTCTCTATGAATTTGACTAAAATACTTCCACATACTTCTAAAACTTTATAAGTTTTAAATGAGTACAATTGGTGGTTGGGCTAGTGTGGAGGCCTGTTCCCTGAGCAGTGGTCGAACAGTAAACCAATCACAGAATGCCCTTTCCTACCCTGTGTGGGCGTGACCGCTCCGTCAGCTAGCGGATAGTTGAGCGTGCGGATGAGCAGGGTCATGTCCTCGTGCCGAGAACAGTAGGCCGCCCTCTGACGGCCGGATACGTAGACGTCGTGGTGCAGCCGTTTGACGCGGTCCACCACAGACTGAGCCACTGCCTCTAGACTGGTCTGTTGGGCCAGCTCTGCTGCTACCATGGCAACAATTTCCTACAATGGACAGCAAAGGAGACAGGGAGTCTGAAAAAGAAAGACTGATGCTAGAGTTGATGAACTACAGAAGATAATCAGGATGAAATAAAGAACTGAAAGTGAGCAGAGAAGACAAGCACAAGAAAATGCAATAAATGAGGATAAGAAAACAGCAATGGACACAAAGACAAAAGTAGTCGAGAAAACAGGACCTGAAGTACAAGAGAGGGAACCAACAACATATAACAAAAATAACAAAACAGTAACAAAAACATGACATCAATGAAAAGGAGAAAAGAGAAGGTTTTGGTAGAAGGAGACGATAGGAGGCACAGGAAGGAAGGAAGGAAGGAAGGAACATGACAGAAGGGTTAAGAAAGCAAATTTAGATTAACAAAAGAAAGATGAAATGTGTGGTTTAGGTAGGTGGTTTGCAAAAAAAAGAAAGCGAAACATGAAAAAAAAAGTGGAAGGAACTCTGTTGAGGTTATAAGAAATTGTGAATATGAATCTGCTAACCTGATTGGCCTGTTCTGGGCCGTGGGCAGACTCAAGGGCATTGATGAGACCTTCTGACATCAGCAACAAGAAGCCCGTCACGTTGTCCAAAGACTGGCTGCCATGAATCTCTGGCTCTGCGATGACTGGCCTCGTCTTGGCCGCACTGAGGGTGGAGGAGGACAGGATGAAATAGATGTGTTAGTAGATAAGTTAAAGAGAGAGAAAGAGTAAAACATGCATCATCGGGGACTGGAAAAGAGAGATGAAGTGGAAGGAGCGAGAAAGAGGCAGAAACTGTGACAAAAAGAGCACCTGACCTAAATACAATAAACCTAGCTTATCTTACAGATCCCAAAAAATTGCTTATACTTTGTCCACTTCAAATTTCCTGCACTCCCTTTGATGGCATTTAAGAGGAAATTCTATAAAGATTATATTGTGTGTTTAATTGGGGATCATAATTGAAATGACTCATAGATATCTGAGCCTGATTTGCCTGGTCTGGACTGCAGACAGAAACAGGAAATGAGAAGTGTGAAAGAGGGGCCCCTAGATCATGGAATTTCAAGAGGCTCAGCCGTGATAAAAGAGAGGCTGGGACAGAGTCTGACCGGATAATAAAGACCATAATATGGAGACAGCTCCACTCTCCAGAATATACACACAGCTACAAAATCTGAAAAGAAAAGATTATAATTTCATTTGTTTTGAATTAGGTTTTCACTTAAAATCACAGTTCTTTAAGTATAAGTTTGATATTCTGGGAAGTACATTCATTCGATTTCTTGCAGAGAAGTAAAGATCAACAACCCCTCTCTCCAGTCTTCTCAACGATGCCCCTCCATAATGCTAGATGAGAGGCTAGTACAGCACGGTCCCTCTTCAAAAGTTATCCCCCACTGTTTGTCATCATGCCTCTTTGCCACTTGTCGATATGAGCACCATGGCATCGAACATAACGAACCCAAAGCGCCGTGTGGAGCTTGGTGGTCGTGTGGTTATCTGTCTCGTGTACTTCAGGACAATGAAACTTAAGGAATTCACTGTGCCGGACCAAGAATTACTTCAAGCACATAAATCTGCATAAAACCACAACTTGTTTTCAGATTTCAGTTTGTGTACGGATTAAACAAATAAGATATGAACTATTTTGTTGCCTTTGGACAGAGACATGCTAGCCCCCCCAATCTTTTTATTAAACTTGGCGTCTACAGCGCTATACTTATCGCACAGACATGAGTTATATTGTTCTTCTCATCTAAAGTTCTTTTTTAACTTTATTGCCTATGTGTTACTGCTGAATTCAGTGTGTTTTGTCTCATCACCTTTGAATTATTGTTCTGAACTTTTCCTGTTACAAAGATAGAGGTTGAGGGAAAAACAGTGAGAGATGAACAAAGAGGTACAGTAGAGGTTTGTACTGATCTGTTAAAGAATTCTAGGCTGTAATTGTGCCCTTTAGGATTTTTTTTTTCATTTTTTTTTTTAACTTTTGAACTTATAAATAAAAAGTATGGATGCTCCAATCTATATTTTTTCTCTCCATATCAATTCCGATACCTCTAGCTGAGCCCAGTGCCAATCTGATACTAGTGCTCCTTTTTACCTTAATTAAAATCTTTAACTCACTGCATGGCACCCATTGGAATCATTTTTATGTAAGGTAACGTGAGACCAGGGATAGCTGTGGCACTAAAAACTGCCCACCTTGTCTGAATGAATAAAACTTATTGCGAAGACACTGACAGAGAAACTGTATTTGATGCTCAACTGTTGCAAATATTGATTTTGGATGTCGCATTGGTACGTTTCTAATTTAAAATAAAGAATAATTTGAAAAAAACAGGTATGTACAATTGACCCTTCACTAAGCCACTGCCCGAATACGCAGCTGGCCAAATCACAGCGCAGTTTAAGATTCTCTCTCTGAGGTCCAACACTTTCAAGGCTGCGCTCCTTTGACCGTAATGCAAAAGAGTCGTTTGAGCTTTTTTTTTGCTGTATTGGATTGTTGCTAATGTAATGTTAGTTAGCTAACTTACTACTGAATGCAACGTTATATAAACCTACTGCTTTTGCATTTTGATGATTGTAATAGTGAATCGAGACCTACCAAGCTGTACAGTTGATCCTTGATATGGTTGTCTTTTGTTTCAATCAAAAGTGGCAGCGCCGTGATAAAAGTCGACAAGTCCGACAGTTTGTTGGACTTAGCAACAGTTTCTGAGCGGGGCGTGGGTCAGCGAAGGGTCAATTTATAATGCAGTTTGAGTATTCTGACTTCACCTGATTAAGTCGATTTCATTGTAGTTGAACTTAACCCGGTAGTCTCCGAGCCTTCTGGTGCTGCTCTGACCAGCGATCTGCCCCGCCTGCCTTATACGGGCGGAATCCAAACCTGTATATAAGAGGGAGGAGAGGAAAAACATTAAAGACTGGGAGAGGTGGATAGTGAGGACAGATAGAGGAGATGAGTTTGAGGATTGCAGCATAATGTTAAGAAGAGGATGTGGGAGACAGAAGCAAGATTTTTTTTATGAGGAAGGAGAGGAGAACATAGAGCTAGACAATAAAATAATAACAATAATTATCGCGATATAATTTCTTTCAATAACAATATAACAAATGTTCAATAAATGTTTTGATTTTATGCACTTAAATCATTTTTTTTATTAAGATGTTGATTTTGGTGAAGAAAAAGGACTGAAAAAAGCTTTTACTTAATTTTATTCATGTATATTTGTTGACAAAGAATTTTATCATAATTGTTTTGAATGTTCTACGTCAGATTTGTGAAGTGATTCACTGTTTGTCATTAAGTGTTGACCATAAAGAAGACCTTCAACCACAATTAACCAGCAGGTTTCTTCAACTTTCACTCAGGAGCAAAAATAAGCCTTTAAATTCGAAAAGAAATAACGATTTGATTCTTATTGTCATAATTATCGATATCGAAAGTGAAATTGCCAAGGAGAACAGAACAGGACAAGAGCAGTATGTAGAAGCAAGAGATGGGGGTGGGAGGAGGAGAGGGGTATGTGTATGGGGGTGGATGAAGATACGAGGTCACCTTCATCACCTTGGTTAATGTAATGACTGCCATTTCATTGAAAGCATTCAGGGCGAGACAACAAAGAGAGAGCTCTGCCTCCTCTTCTAATGGCATGGTGTGAAACAATGCAGCTAATTCACCATTAAATTCATTACAGGTGCCAGGCTACACCTAATGGTTCTTTTGCAAAGCTAATCACAATGTATGTATTTCCTGTTATAAACCTGACACTCATTACTAGACCATTAGCTTGGCTGTCCACTGTGGAAAGATGGATCCCAGTGTGTCTCTATTCCAGCTAGTCTACACTGAAGGCTATTTCTCTGTCCGCCTCTATACCCTGGACACAATGCAAGGAATGTAAGTTATGTCTGAATGTATGTATGCTACTGTGCTAATATAATTTTTTAAATACCAATTTGACCAATATACAATATACAGTCTGTTCAACTCACAGAACTGGTTTAAAGGCCAATTTAAATAGCAAAAACCTATTTAATTAATTCCTGTCTTGTTAATTACCAGAAAAAGACAACAGCGAAGACAAAAATGAATATATTCAAAAGCCAGTATGGCTTATTCTTTTTTTTTTTTTTCCCCCTTTTTCCCCCAGACTGGGCTGTAATTCAAATCTAATTTAATTCCTAAAATATCATGGAAAACAAATCTCAACTGAAGAAATGCACCAAACCAACCCTCGTCAGATGGTTTATGTATCCGTTTTCCATCCTGTCATCTTTGAAGGGAACAGTCTATCGGTCTATCTTTCTGTGCATCTCACCCAGTGCAGCCAGTCTCTGCAGCTCGTCTTCATTGTCAGTGCTGTGTGGTCGGCCAATCTGGAGAACCTGGTTCTGGCCATCGCTGCTGGACTTGCACAGCAGTGCCCGGTTGGTACCTGGAATCCCAGACAAACATCCATGGATTCACAAAACCAAGAATGTGGACGGGCAAAATGAATTTATGGTGTAAACTAATAATTTTGTATTTTAGGCAAGCCAACATTTACACATGGTAAAACAGAGTCTGGACAAAAATAATCAAATTGAAGAGAAAATATGAAGTTGGAAATAAGTAATTTTTCATTTCATGCTAAAAACGTGAAGTGGCGTGATTACCAGTTTTTGCTGACACTACATCAGAGAGGATTTTATTCAACTATATTATCATTCTTTGAGGAGCAGACATTTTGCCATATATTTTTCCCACACATTAATAATGCAGAGAAAAAAAGTGTACTAACATTGCCATGAGGTGACTCACAGGCCCAAACCTACGCCAATGAATCAGTGAAGGTATTGTGGTACTTTTACAAAGCTAAATATGAATCATTGGATGATGCTGCCACAATTATTAATTCACTTCAAAGTTAAGTTTTTGGGCCACTGAGCAGGAGCTTGATATGGTGCAACACCACCTCCACCCAAATTTTAAGTTCTGTGAATGCCTGGAGTAGTGTGCTGCTCGTCTAATCTGCAGACAAAGCCATCCAATTAGCCACAGTATACTGAAATTGCAAACAGGGCCCCATGTGCTTCTCTCTGTGGGGCCCTAGGCTTCAGTTCCTGTAACCCTGTGTGTTAGTGCTGCGGTGCTGACAGGACACGTCATTTTTCAAGTGTTCCAAAATGATCTATTGGTTACAAAATACTCTACGTCTTGGTAAGCCTGGAGATAATCCTCATGGTCGTATGTGCAAAGTTGCTCTACACATCACTACATATCTAAAAAGAATAGCCAAACATGCCTATTGTATGTTCGTATGCCCTTGGCTGCCCCCCCCTCCCGCAACCCCCACTCCTAGCATATCAAATTATGGGTCAAACGACCTTAACTGTCAAATATATTTCACATCAACACACAGCTGGAAGTGCTTTTTAGAGCACACTAACTCTTGTTTAAACCTCCCTTGGATTCATGTTCTGTCAACTTTGAACTCTCAACCCTCACACCCCACAGCAGCCCAGTGCGGAGAGTGCTCCTTTCTACTCAGTACTAATTACTATCCCCCCTTGCTCTATGCCACGTCCTGGAGGACAAAAGAAAATGAAATCCCAGAGAGACGTTAAAGGGCTCTTTGCCATTGCCAAGAGACAGAAACATCTAAAAAAAAAAAACATTAAAAAATGGATTTAGACTCATACCCAGAGTTTCTTTAAATGAGTGCAACATTAAAATGAGATTTATACTCTCTCTCTAAATGATTAAATCAAGCAGGAGTTAGAGCGGCCACAGGGCCCAGTCACATGAAACAAATCCCATATACAGCAGCTGGGGTCTGGTACTTTGAGTAACTTTGATGATTCTTAAAGAGAAATTCTTCTAAGGAATCCCTGTGGCTCCTCAAGGTTGGTGTGTGTGTGAATGCCTCCCACAGTCTCCTTTGAATTTCCTCACATTTAAGAATCTAAAATGGACTGCTTGTTCATGTAGTAAAATATAAATTATAAATTATTCTTTTCTGTGGCTTAAGGAGTCAGGTGGGAATCTGAACACAAACACACAGAACAAGCTATCACGCTACTGCCCCTACAGCTGTTGTCTGCAGGAGCCTGATTTGGCACCGGGGATTCAAAAACAATGGCCGACATTGTACGTAAGCTTTGAATAAAGACAGCCAATGTGATTCCAACATCTTTCTGAAGTCCACAGAAAACAGAACCTGTGGGAACAATGAACTTTCTGCACAGCGTGTAAATCATGGGTTTGCTGGCAGGGTATTTCATAATGTAGATTTTTATATCAGACTATCTTGCAACGCTAAACCCCAATATTTTGTAACATACTACTCCACACGTTTTTGTAGCTGCTGTTGAACTTGTGTTAAAATGGTTCTGTACAATATCATTTCATATGACCAATAACTAGAAATGTACAGCATGTTAACTATAACTATTAAAAATAAACACAGAAAGTTGTGAAATAAAAATAACAAAGACGATAAAAAGCTTTAACTGGAAGACTGATACTTGATGCATCAGGATGTGTAATAAGCAAGAGGCAATGGAGAATTGAAACGAATACGATCTCTGTCCACACCAGCGTTTTAGCTGCGTTTAGGAGTTGATCTCAGTCTACATTAAAATGACTGAAAACCATGCTGAAAATGCACATCTATTGGATGGGGCATTAGTTCAACAATTCACCTCAGGATGAATAAAGTTCTTCTCTTACCAAACAAATCTCAACAGAAATCATGAATTTGTTGCCAAATGCAGTAGGATTCAACATACCATCCCACTGCAGAATTATAACAACAGAATTAAGTTGTTTGTATTTACTGTTGCTTGAGTCTGATTTTTGAGTTGCATATGAATGAATGAAAATGAGAAATAGAGGTACTCTGAGAGACTGAAAACACCTCTATCTGCTGAGTGTTTGATGGTTATGTAGTTCTGATTAGAGTCTAACTGCAATTAAACGTTCAGCAAAAAAAGTTTTATTTCTCTCCTTCGCTCACTTTGTCCTCCACACCCACACCCACACAGGAAATCAGCAACAACCACCAACCTAAAAACTTGCTGCCGAGGAAGCTTTAGCATTTGCGATTGCATACAAGCAAATAAAAGAAAAAGTGCGTTCATTGGCATTTATTTCTACTCAAATTGAATTGAAGTCAAGTGAGCAGACAAGCCGGCAGATAATTTGGGGGGTGACAATCATGGTGAAATGATAGCGATGATCCATCCTGTTACAATTTGCCGTGAAGAAGAAGAAGCAACGTTTATTTGTTGTGATCGTCATTTCCAGTAAGTGCACAAAGGCAGTGTCTGATTTAAGATAACACCACCATGTCAAAATTCACACACTATGCAAGTACATAGTGCACAAACTGTACTACATGTGACACAGCATGTGCTTGTCCAATAACTGATGGTCTGCCCTGCAAATGCCACGCCTAAATTTCCTAAAACCATTGGAAAGTACTACTCCTGCAGTAGGGAGGGTTTTTTTCCCACCTGAAACTACATGGGTTTTACTGGAGTAACAATCCCTAAACCAAAACCTGTTTAAGCCTGACATCTACTGGTGTAAAGCAGATTCTTAAGTGGCCATCTAAAATTTGGCTGGTTTTTGGTCTGAACAATATTTCCTGCACTACTACAAAGACGAAAAATAAGGTACAACTAAATTAAAATATTTCTGTCAAAAGGTTTTAACAATGACTCATTTGTAGTATTAAACAAACATAAGTAATGGTACTATCAAAGTCAGAATTTAGGTATCAAGACAACTCTAGCCTGTTTAAATGTGTGTGTCCATACCAACATTGGCAATATAAAGCTTGTTGTTGAGGATCAGTGCCACCACGGCCGTAGCTCCTCCAGACACCTCCTGCTCCAGCTCCTTCAGACGCTCCTGCACTTTTTGACTCTGAGAAGAATGCTGGTGGAATGACACATTCTGACCAAAAAATAAGTAAAGAAAATGTAGTGAGTGGAAGGAGGAGGGGCGGAAGGAAAAGAGGAAAGAATCAGCAGGAGTAGGCACATAGAAGGAAAAAAGAGCAATGAGCAAGAGACATGAGAGGAGAGGAAAGGCGAGTGGAAACGGAAGGAGAGGTGGAGAAGGAGAAAAAAATGACAGGAGGTGAGACAAAAAAAAAAGACAGAAGTTGAGTAAGAACACAGGAGATAGTGAGCATGAAAGAAGCAGATAAGCAAACAAGACAAAGCGTGACAACAGACAAAAGTAGATTATGACTAGATGTTCTTAATGAACCAACTCAAGCAACAAAAAGTGACTAACATCATTTTACAAAAAAAACAAACAACACCAGCAATATCAGAAGTGATATAACACTATGTGAAGCAGAGAAGAGTAGACACTGAAAAAAGGAGAAAAAGATGGAGTGGGGGGAGAAGCGGAGGCAGAAGAGCAGGGAGAGCAGGATCCAGAGACGAAAAACTGAGACCGGCTTATCCAATGAAACAGGTTGATGAGTCCAATTAGAACATTCTCCAATGGGTTGAGGACTAGCTCACACTAACGCCCAAATCTGTGGTTGCTGTGGAAACCGACAGAATACCCTGCTAAATCTATCAATATGCTTTGCCTAGTGTGTATGTGTTTACCTCATTGTGTGGTAGAAGGTAGTTGGACAGGTGAGCTTTCTCAGCCAGAGCGTCATCTATCGTCTCAAAGTAGCTCTTCTCCACCACATCAAAGGCCTGCGACAACAAGAACATATATCTGGATGACACAATGATGGCAATTATCCAGGGCAGTTTGCATTAGCCTCCCTGGGTACGTTGTGTTCAGGTGACATTGTCTTTATCAAGGCAGAAACATCCACATTGCAATAAACTACCATCTTTCTCTGATCAGATCAGCTCGTGAACCGAATGCTGTTTTACAGCCAACCACTGCAGATAAATTAAATCTGTGACAACCCCTGCACAGTTATTTTTCTTTACGCTACATTAGAAGCATTTATGTAAAACATAAAAAGTATATATTTTTTAACCAACTGATGTGGCGAAATTACTTTAAAAGTTCACACAACCACTGACATTTGTGACAGGAAATTTCTAGACACGGGGCAAAGTTTTGAAAGCTCCCTCTGGTTCAGAACATGCTTCTGTCTTTACAGCACTACAGTAACCATAGAACCAGCATAAGAAATCAACTCCCGCCACCTGCCAAATGCAGAAGACTTTGGGCAAAGGCTATTTTGGCATAAAGCGTAGTATATGCACATATGCATTGTGTGTAACGTATGATTAGTTTAGAATGACGATGAATCCTTCTTCTTTTTTTCATACGTTCATTAGGTCCCCTTCACACCGTGATTCTTATGCTCTCTGTCCTATGTTTAAATCCAAAATACTTTTACGCTTCCTTGGATAATTCAATTTACTTAGAGAAAATTAATGCTTGATGTGTTACCTTGCCATCATAAGAAAACAATAAACTAGATGACCTCACAAGGCAGTAGATCAGTTTAGCTTGTGCATGCCATGTGGCTTGACAGGACTGTTATATTGGAAGCACAATGTGGCTGCATATTGCTGGAGTTACAAGGCCCGTAGACACAGATCCTATCAGACATGCAGCAAACTGCAATGTAGTGTGAGATTACATCCTTTATGAGGAACTTGCAGCTCATAACCCTTTAATATTTACAGTAATCACCTTCTGCCTTCTGCGCTTTATTGAAATAGATGCAGATTATTGAAGTGAGGATATGTGTGTGAATGTGAACTTAAAAGCAGTGTGTGCAGTTATCACTTTGTCTACTGACATTTCAGATATGCTTCCATTTTATTAAGTTCATTTAGTGACTTTGCTGTTGTAAACTTTACTGTTGCTGCTCTAGAAACATACATAGTTATAGTTAAAATATTTCATTCTTATCCTGTTCCGAATGTAAAGACAACCAGGCAGCTAATATGTATTTTGAACAATGTTATCGCACATGGACGGTTTTCCTCATATAGTTTTGCAAAAGTGTCTCAATTTCCCATCCAGGAGAGCAAAAAGTTTCTCACTCTTCCTGGAATGTAAATGCATTATAATACTTGCTGTGCAATCGTCAACAAATGAAACGAGTAACATAAAGACTCACAGACCTGTGTGAGGATCCTGCGGACGTCGCTGTCTGTGTGACTGGAGTTTAGCTGTCCTAGCAGCAGTTCAGCTGTTAGACACTGGGAGGCAACACTGGCCACTCTGTTGCCATCAAAACCATTTAAAACCCCATAGAGGAAACAGCCATCCTCTCCTCTGATTGGTGGAGAAAAAACAACAAACATATCTTCTGTTTCACTCCAAAACAGACACTCTTGCTAATGCAGTGTTTTTTTGTCTAAAACTACTACTTGAATTGTGGAGACACATGCAATAAATGCAGCACATTTCTAAAGTCTGAGTGTTTCTTGATAACAACAGCAAAGTCATTTATGTAAATTACTTAAATAGAATTTTAATGACAGAGATGCATTTATACTATGAAGTAATGAGTGTGAATGTGTTTTTGAGTCAGCTAGTTTACAACTACAAGAGACTCAGATTTTAAAAGGACTGTGTTGACAAAGTGTCCATGATCAAGACACAGAATCCCTATCAGCTTCACAGACCTCTTTTAGAGATGGTCAATATCACAATGCTATCAGCAGTTTGATGGTGTACTTAATTACTGTATAGCATTTACACAGACAAACCGAAAATGGCAAACACTGAAAAAGAGAGTCAACTTGCCATTTGAGATGCAGGTGCTGACCATGAATCACAGTGCTGTTGCCGCCTCAGCAATTAGATTATTACATAATTCCTTTAGTTAGCTCCAACCCTACCCCTTTTTCTCTTTATTTTCTGCGCTTATTGTGTTTCCAGAGTGTCTCACCTGAACCCGAGGTGTCCATCCTCATTGGAGTGGCTCTGACTCCCTTTACCATCAGGGCCATACACACAGTTGGGTGCTGTGCCAACCCCACACATCTCACACAAAGGCAGGTCATCTGTCCAGCTCTGATGCTGTCGAGGTAAATAATAAAAAGTTCAAAAGGTAACTGTCCTTCCTCCATTTATCAAAGCATAAGGGGTAATTTGAATAGATTATCTTTTGCAGGTCAGACAGTATATGGCAACAGTATTTGTGCTTCTCTTCCTTGAAACCTCGAAAGTGTTAACAGAATACTATTCGACCAGTAGATAGATGATCTTTTATCTTCCCACCAGTTTTCACAGAACAAACAAATACTGCAATCTGTATTCATCTGCATGCAAATAATGCCAAAATGTCATTATTTTGTTTGCACAACAAGGAATTGTTGATGGTAATTTCCAGATAAAAAGATCTCTTGTGAAACAAACATTTTTTAGAGATTGCCTGCTGTCGTTGGTGTTTCCTTTTTTGGTTGTTTTTGCATTGTCCTTACTTTTTTTGGCACATTTCACTGTGTTCTGACAACTTTTTCCAGTTAAATGATAGTTGTATACATTTTATTGCAAAGCACAGTTAGTTTACTTGTTATGGAAAATAGATATGGCAGGGGGAATGACAAATGTTGAATTTGCGGTACATATTTTATTTAACTATTAACAAAATGAGCACTATGATTTTAATTTAGACTCACCACGCCTAATGTTACACTAGAGACCGACATCGTTTCCGCATAGTGCCAACGGAACATAGACCCAAGTCTATTATAAACGATATGCTGTTGTCAACAACACCGACGGGAGTGTCAACAAAGACTAAACAGGCCGCAAACAATAACTTAAACACAAAGAGCAAAGTTGAGTCTGAGGATTCATTAAGACAAACATACAAAGCGACCGTCGCTAACGTTACAAACTAACGTTAGTTGATGTGTGAAAGATTTGACGGTCAATGAAAAAGTTAGGACAGGGCTCATAACGTTAGTTAGCCACACCTAACGTTACTTCTAGTAATAGTAACTGTCTATGGTGATAAGACGCTGATAAATTATTATTTAGAGTAAGTTAGCTCGCTAATGAGCTCAACTGGTATGGCTAGCACTAGCAAAATTGAACGTCAGGAATTGAACACTGAAAGGAAGAAAACAAGCAAAGACGACCACCAGGGAAGATAAATGAGACCAAAGTACTCTTCAAGAGTACTGTAACAGTAAGATTACAGTTTAGAGAGAGTGATAAATAGCTGAGTTTTCACTCACGCTCTGCATCAGATTCCTACGCTGAGCCGCCATGTTGGACGGTGCCAGTTGCGTTCACGGACTCATCGCAAGGTTCAAAATTCAAGCGCCAAGGTGATTGCATTTATCGTTAACGTTACATAATAATAAAATTAAATGAATCCTAAAACGACATATTGTGGCTACTGTAATAATTCCTCGCTACTAATGTGAGTTACAGAAAACGTCTTCCCTCCTGGGTTGTTGCGTTTTATATATATCGATGTCTTGTCCCTAAATTTCCCACAGCACTTTAAGGCAGCATCCAGATAAATTTATGGAACTCATGAACTAGCAAATTATTGAACAACTACATCATGGGTCTATAGGTTCTCTGTACGACTGCTATTTAAAACGTTTAATGTAAGTCTTAATTGAGTTCATTTATAAAAGGAGGGAAAAAACACCACTTCCGTTTTGTTCCTCCAATGGATCTCTTTGACAATATCGCCATCGTATGGGTTTATTATGAACTACAATAGTAAACTGCAACATGTTGTTGATGGCTGTAGCCTAGGTCCATCATTTTTGTCTTTCATGACATTTCAGTTCTATTTAGGGCTACAAACAAGTACACTTGGGATTTCTACCTTTCCCCCACCATGTATAGTGATTTGTATTTCACCTTGCACTGTCTAAATTCTGGTCCAATAATAATACACAAATCCGATAATCTAATATTATTACATTTATTTCTGGGAGCAATATGTTGGGATGATGCACCTAAAACATCGCAGTGTTTGTTAAAGGTCTGTTCAGTAAATATATCCTATGCTTAGAATTTAGGAAATTGATGTAAATTATCCAAAGTCAGCCAATAACACACTACTGAGCAGCTTCATTCTCTTGCGCTGTGCTGTTTTGATCAGCAGGGAATGTAAAAAAACAAACAAACATTAAGTTACAAATGTGCTTATCATTTCACCAAATCAAAAGCTCTCCTGGTAAAATCCACATTTATACTTATTGTAGATGTGACTACAGATAGACATTTTGCCAGTGGAGGGAGACATGTACCACGTTTCTGTGTCTCACTGAAGCTGCACAGTATTACTACTGGACTGAAAACTGAGTTTATAAAGTTTGCAAGTGTGAGGAACACTTGAAAAACATTTCTGAGCATTTTTTGTATGGATTGTAAGCAATCCAGACACATCTCTGTTTGAATTTTTAAGGCAGTATGGTAGATATTTCCCAGATTAGACCAGTCCCAAAAGGACTCAGAAGTTAAACTTATTTAAACTTTTTAAAACTCTTTCAAAGTATTTTAGCAAGTTATTAAAAATCATAAATAGCAGACAAAGAAATTGCAACTAAAATCAAAATATCCCAGACCACTCATTCATGTTTTTCTCAATTTTTTTCTTTATTTTTATTGGTTAAAATCAAACACATCAAAAAACATACATTTGTAGACACTTTTTCTTAAATACTTCCTTTTTTTAAAACGAATTTCACAAAGGAACGTCACACATTTCTACGTCTACACGGTTGTATAGTATAAAGTATATATGTGCATATATATACTTCGATAATTTGGTCACACTTTGTTGCTGTATTTTTTTTTTATAGTTAGTATTATTATGCCAAAATAAAAACATCTCCTTACCCTTAAAGCAACATAAAGAATGAGGCATGGATGACCTCACCATATATCTTATCACAATAACACTCAACAGAACATAGCTCTTCTTTCTTTTGTCCTTTTTATATACAGAACTAGCATAATGCCCTAAAATGACACACTCTAATATAATGAATTATAGATTTACATATATTTAGAGAGACAGATATACTTTATTCTTTAAGAAATTGGAGCAATGCATGTTCATAAATACTTTGTATATGGATGTTCATAGTTGCCAAATCTGTAGATTTGTTGGAATAAATGGAAAAATATATAAATAACCTGCAATCATCAGTGTAGGAAGTTGCTGTTATGAAATTTTGTGTCATTTGGGATGCTCTATAATGATGACAAATCCTTGTTTTGTTCAGGGTTTTTACGTGCTTAAGGACAAGACAAAATTCGATTAGCTATGCTTTTGCTGCAAAGATGCTTAAAGAGAACTGTGACACTGTGTATGTTGGGTATACTTTGCCCTGTGTTCATTGGATTTTGCTTGGCAGTCAGCACTAAGGCAACAACTGAGGAAAGAAAAAGTGGGTTCTTCAGGGAAATAGGAAAACACACATTGTCCCACATCCACACATCATTAAAATCCAAAGGAGACCTTTCAACACACACACAAACACACTCCTGTGTTACAGTTAATGGGGTTAGTTGCCAGATATGCCACTGTTGCTTGTTTGTCTATGCAAAGACCCTGTAATGCACCTCTAAGGAGTATCGTCAGCAGAAACCTGTGTTGTCTGTTCGAAATCAATATGTGAACGTGTGCTTGTGTGTGGCTGTATTTGTTGTGTGTGTGGTTGTGTGTGTGTGTATCAATGAACACTGATTGCAGTCATTTTGCTGACTGACAGCAGACCTCAACAGATGAAGGCAATGCGGTCACAAGCATTGATCTGCTACAGTGTAACCATTTCTGCAAAAGCTTGACCTCCGAATTCTTCCTACCCTCCTGTTCCTGATATCTTCAACCACACCCAGTGTCTCTCTGCTTCCCACAACCCCTAACTATGGATGTCCTCAAACCTAATTGACATCTTATCAGACCCCTGTGCCTCCCAAAATTTGGAAAGTTGTCCAAAATTTCTGACCTAGAGATAAATTCTGCGTTTTATCCTACATAAACTGATGGAAATCACCCCCAAAATGTCACAGGTATGAAAACCACTAATTTCTTCCTCCAGCAAAATGCATTCATTGTTGCATGTATGCACTACTAATCACTAAGTCAAATAAAATATATTAATTTAAAAGTGAAGATAGAGATTCTAGAGAAATCCATCACCATGACAAATTCCATGGTACAGATCGAACAACGACACAGCAAGTAATGCAACTAACGTTAGCTAAGTTGTGGTTTAGCAAACTGTTGTTACGGTTGCTGCTGCGAAGCCAACATGCAGAGAGGACGGTCCCAGAGCCGCATAACAGCTCCCAACAGCGATACTCCCTGCTACTATAGCTAATATCACAACAACAGCATATCTTAGCAAACTAGAAAGTAAGCTGAATATCCGTGGGCAAGTCGTTTAACGTTACCTGACACACAAATCATGGCTGGAACGGCTGGAATATGTGTGCCATTGTGTGACTGGGTGTGGGCCACATTCCCATTTACAGAGCCAGGGCTGAGCCACCGGATTTTTTCCAGTGCTCACACAGAACTGAGGGCTAGCGGACCGTGAGGAAATATTCGCTGAATTTGACAAAAACACCTGTATTGGATTCGCTTACACCACCTTTAACCCAGTAGCCATGGAGAGATTTTAGTTTTAGTTTGGGGTTATTTATCCAAACATTGTACATTGTTACACTCCAGCTCTAATTACGCTTCATATGCTTATTGTTTTTTTTTTTTTCACTAAATCTTATTGTCTTACACTGGTTCAAAACAACCCTGCGTGTGTGCTATATTGACCCAAATTTGGTCATTTTTGACCCAGTGACTTTTAGTGTGATATAAACTATATACACCTCTTAATTAGAAACTATGGACAACTTCACCCCCCCTCCAGTATATTTTATCTCAGTAGTCCTGACGCTGGTAGCCACTAGTACCGTCAAAAGCCCCATCACTGTTGGACTGGCCCCCTCCTCCTCCTGGGCTCTCCACATCGTCCCCACCAAAGGAGGTATAAGGGGCTCCAGCAGCGTCCTGGCTGGGATCCGTGTATTCCTGGGAGAAGAGGGCTGAGTCAGCTCCCAGCTTGTACCTCTGGAAGGCCAAGAAGGACTGGCCCGCCTTGGGGATGGAGGGATCGGAGATGGAAGATGACAGGAGGCAAAGAGGATATATAGGTGGATGAAAGATGTGGAGAAATGGATAGACGTGGAAGCAGAGATGCAATCGTGTTAGAGCAGAGGTTTTGAGAGAAGAGAGGGAACAAAGAGAGAGAAGGAAACATTGATTAGTTGGGTTGCAAAGCTGGTGAAGTTAATTAGATAGTTTGAGTCAGTCGTTTAGTCGGTCACAGCAAGTTAGTTATACAGGCAGCAGTGCAAAAAGGCTATTATTGAGCTCCGTAATGAGACCTCAGCGCCACTACAGTCCACATGGGATACGGACCAAGCAATTAAACATTGTCTGTGTGCATTATTAAACAGGCCTTGCACTGTAACACCACAAATCTAATTTTTGTTGATAATTACAGATGTTTCAAGAAAACAGTGGACGAAAGCTAGTGATACATGAGTAAACAGACACTCAGAGAAAGAGAAAGTTGAGTTGATTCAAACTCTCAGTCATTTTTTGAAACATTGTAGTTGCTGTGGTACTTGTTAATAAAATAATAACACAATTTACAGACTTTACCTGTAAACTTAGACTTAGATTTTTTGGTTTTGGAACATTTTAGTATAGAATTCGTGCAATAAAACATATTTATGACCCAATAACATGCACAGTTACAAGCCATAAAATCCTATGAATATGCAATAAAACAGTTTGATATTTCAGTTAAATTGTCTTAAACTGTGAAGTCAATCTCAAAAAGCTATAAAAAACAACAAATCTACCTATTAAACTTATTAAAATAGTCCACATGGGAAAAGCATGGATGTGCATAGAGAGTTACAGGGAAAAGCACTGATACACTGGAGCAATTAAAGGAATAGTTTTGGTATATATACTACATCATTTTCTGACCGAGAGCTGAAATGACATGATTGATACCACTTTAATGTCTGTCTGCTCAATGCGAAGCTGGAGTCAGCAGCTGGTTAGCTTATCTTAGCAAGAAGACTGGAAACAGGGGAAGGAGCTAGCCTGGCTCTGTCGAGGGTAACAAAATCCACCTAGCAGCACCTCTAAAACGACCAAAAAATTGTCCGACACATAGAGCTAACCCCCTGCAGCACTGCAACGTGTTGTTTGCACACAGTTTTTGTACAGATTAAACAAATGATTTATAACGTATTAACAAGTGAGCGCTAGAGGTGGTGCTAGATGGATCTTGTTAAATCCAAACAGAGCCAGGTTAACTGTTTCCCCCTGTTTTCACTTTTTATGCTATGCTAAGATAAGCTAACCGGCTGCAGGCTCAAGCTTCATATTTAAATACAGACACATATCAATCCTATCATCTAAGTCTTGGCCAGAAAGTGAAAAGGTGTGTTTCTGTTTTAAGCAATGCACTCTGACAAATGTATAAAAACTCATTACAAAAATCTGAGAAATCACGTTTTAAACAAAATCACTTCATATAAAAACCATCACGTGAAAAATTCTGATCCCCACAATAAAAGATAATGCACTAAACCCTCATGTTAATGATAACATGAAGTAGTGGCCTCTTCTGTAAATTGAGACTGCACTTGTTTAAGGGCTCCAGGTTTGGCGGTAAAGCTACAGCTGGGAGCTTCCATTCTAAAACAGATTACAGGTATTTAAGTAGGTGTTTTTAAGGCCAGAAATCTCAGCATTTGGTGATGTAATTGTTGAATCACGATCAACAATTGAATCAACCCACCTGCACAGGCATTATCATTATAATGTGGCAGTTATTTAACTATGGTGGCAAAAACATTAAGCAATATCTTACTGGTATCAATGATGGTACAACTGTTTTCTTGTACTGTACTGGTGGATCACACTCATTTCCAGCACTATTTAATGTTACCAGGTGCCCTTAAAAAAACGTATCCACATTTGTGTAACAGAAGTGTGTAGGGCCAGCTGTGAAGTGTTAAGGCAGCAGGGGGAGAGGACAGAGCAGAGTCAGACAAAATGTTGACTGGGCTGAGGGGGGAACAGCTTGGTGTATTCCTCTTCAAATGACACATTCTTAAACTTCTCCATAGAGAAGAGAGCCTGAGCGCCCTGTTGGAACAACATCCACACACCTATGAATTCATAGTACATATAGGCTATACAAATGAACATGTTCACAGGCATCCTAACACTAACCAAAAAGAAGATGTAGAAGATGTAGGAACAGTAGTAAAAGCATACACATTTTCAATAGCTTATTCGCAAACAAAGGAGGAACTGAAAGGTGATTCTTTTTTCCATATTTTTCCACCCGCAATCCGCTATCACGGCAGCAGGTGAGCCACTTGCTTGTTAATGACGCAGCCTATCAAACAACTCGAACAGCCGAAACCAACATCTGCACCCTGTGTTCAATGTTGCTTTACGTTACCTGGTCTGTGCTTGTAAAATATCCACCCAGACTTGTAACGTCATTTCAGGTTTTTAACCAAGTGAAGTCTTGTGCGAGTGAACACACGCACAGACCACGCTGATTTGATTACATTAATGTTTGCACCTTATTTGTTTAAAGTTTGCAAACCACATGTTATTGCACTTTTGTGTATATAGCAGTACATTTAAATTAAAATTGCGCATTACACTACTTTAGAAATCATTATTCAATTTTATGTGTGACAATGCGATTAATCGTGATTAAACATATTAATCGTTGCCCAGCACTAGTCATTTTGTGTTATACTGTGCACCAATGAGGTGTGGATGCCCTTACCCAGGTAAAGATGGAGAAGAAAGAGAAGGTGATGGCTGCCCGGGCAGCATCCCCTCCCTCTCTCAGTGGGTTGTCCTCATGCTTGGTTACCTGCCACTGGTTTGCCAAGAAACAGAAACCCACAAACCACATGAAGGACCAGAACGCTGGGAAGAGACACAGGTACACAGACAGTGTTAAAATTCAGATTATCACTGGATTCAAGATGGTATTTTAGAGATGCTTCTAATCTCAAGGGAATTGGTAATGGAATACTTATTAATTTAATTTAATATTTATGAAAAATGCCTATTTGGTTTCTTGATGAGAGTTAGCTTAATCCACTGGGTGGTTATCTTAGCTTAGCATTAAGACTAAAAGCAGAGGGAAGCAGCTAGCCTGGGTCTGTCCAAAGATTAACAAATAGCCTCCTAGCCCTTTAGACAGCTGTAACGTGGATCAGTTGAAAACAACAAGGGACCAAGGATTGACCCTTGTGGAACGCGCCCCATGTAAAATGAGCAGATAAACAGCAAGAATTACACCTAAACCAGATACGGTTCTATCCTGCTTGCGAGTTATTGCAACTAGAAGAGCTCCAAGATACAAAGGGGATTCAAACATCATCCCATCACATCACGCAGTGGGTGAAACATAACATGGGGCTTAACCAGAAACATCCAAGTCCGATTAGGACACATGTACCAGCTGTTACCTTTTTAAGAACAAGTAAGTAAGTAAGTCAGCACAAAGTTCACAGTAAAATGTAATACAACAAAGAAGAACAAAGCATTATATTAGATATCATATCATATTATCACAGAGTACAAAGCATAACATAGATACAGTAGGAGAAAGTGAGAGAAAGAAAGTGCATGAGTGATGAAAAGAGGAATGGAGGATCTTGTCTGTGACAGGAACAGCCTCATTAACTAATCAATCAACAGGATGACTATCTTGTCACTGCAGTAGTTGTACAGCAGAGAAAAAGAGGAAGCCATTGTCCAAGATTACAAAGCACAATGTCTCAGAGGCTTGTTAAAAGCTTAAAACAGCAGCAATACCAATCAGCTACATTTGACCACTAGACTGTTTCTTTGTAGTGGATTTAACACTGGAAAGCATAAACTAAATTAAACTAATTTTATTTTAGTCACTTGTGTCTGAGTTTGCTGTAATGGTTTTCATAACAACTGTATAAGCTAATCATACTGCAGATCCCAGGAGGTAGTGATGTATCTTGAAACTTTATAAACAAAAGAAGCTTCAGTCTTCTGGAGAGTGTATATGGGTAGTGAATTAAGATAGAAAAGACTAGTGCAGTCCTTGATTGCACTTGATAAATTCAGATTAATTTAAATTATGTTAAAAATGGGTTAGAAAAAAGGAGATTTATCTAATTTATCTTTACCTGAACTAAAATAATCGCATGGCCTTTCTTTCGCATGGCCTTTCTTTCATTGTGGTACTTGGCTGAGGTTTACATTATAATGTAATAATGGTTATTATAATGTAGCCCATGCTGTGTTTGTTTAGACTTGTTCAGTGAAAAATGTGTAAAAGTAATTTTTAGCTGTCTGAAAAAAGTACACAAGTGTTAAAAACATAGGAAACAAGAGGCTTTGCATAGATAATTGGTTTACCTGATAACCCGATATCAGCCAGCACTGCCTTTTTACGGTCTTTGACGCTGGTGATCTGGGGGAAGTAGACGTCCAGAGCCAGGAAGGCCATGCAGCAGAGGAAGGCCATGGAACCCATAAAGACGCCATAATTACAGGCATTCTGGTTGCGGTTGAAGATGCAGAACTCCTCTACTTCGTTGGGGCGGTTGATGTAGCCCTCATTGGCGATGCAGCCAAAGATCACGATGGAGAAGAGCTGCAGAGGGGAAAAGAAGAAGGGTTAGGAAAGTGAGAGCAGAAATAAGGCAGCCCAGTGTAGTTCATGGTGCCGTCAGGCTCTTTGGATAAAAGACCTTCAATAAACAGGATACATTTTAAAGAGGCCAGCAACAGAAAGTTTTATATTTTACAATTTTCATACATTATTTCATCACTAAATCCACTTCTAAGAAGTTTTGAGGTGAGAAGTCACCTGTATAGATTTCAAATATTGGCATTTTTATGAAAAGTGATGGCGGAACAAAAATGTGCTTGTAAGTTTTCAGAGTTGAGGAGCTCCAGAAATGGCAGCAGGGGAAGCCTGCGGCAAACCCACGGAAGGAGCTCACGAGGCCGGCCAGCCGCCCGCTCACAGAGCCCTCTGGTCCCGCCATCACACAGACCGCTGCAGCAACAACGGCAGAGGAGCTGGAAGGCTTTCATACCGCTTATCTGTCTTTACATTCTGAGTAATGTTAAACCGTTTTAACTTAAATCACGAGACAGCTGTGTGTGGGTCACTGCTGTGTTTGTCGCATTGAACATTACGTTGCGTCAGTTGTATGTGGCGTTTCTATGACAACCAGCTACAATGAGGGGTACTATCTCTGGGTACTATCTGCAATGGAAAATGGAGGACGGCGGGCCAAAACCGAGTTGAGTAGAGGCGAATCGAGGTGAGTTGAGCTGGTACTGGTAATGGAAAACACAACAATAGATCTGTCTTTCCGTATCTTGTATGTAAAGGGTAACACACACTGGCAAGGTATAGTGCGGCAAAAGACCCGTGACTACAGTTTTTAAGCCCAAATACTGCGTCTTCATGCAGATAGGATAAATCACTGTCCTAATTCCCAGCCAATCGGCACTGGCTACCATGCTTTGTAATCTTCTTCTGTCTGTTTAGCACAGTTGGTTTGTGCTGCGGACGTCAATTTGTGCATTTAAAATGACACAACGAAATATATCGTGGCCTGAGTGTTTTGCATTATAAACCGGATGACACCAAAAGATGAATGACAGCAGTCTATGAAAGGCACATTTAAAGGTTTAGTGTGTAAGTTTAAGTGGCATCTAGTGGTGAGGGTTGCAAATTGCAACAAGCGGCTCATGGTGCATTCACGTACTCCTCGGCTGGTATATAAACAACATGCAGAGATCTGCTTCACTCTACATGGACAGCAAACTAAGTGTTATAACTTTTCTGAAATTCCTGCTCAGTCATGTATTTGTAAAGCACCACCTCACCCTAAATGCCAGTTAGCATGTTTTGTAATAATTCATAAAAGCCATTTATAGCCCCAAAGGAAAAATACCTGCTGTAGTCCAATGGTATATTTAGACTGACTGGGTAATTTATGAATAAAAATACACTTCAGCGTGACGCTCTCAGCCCATAATGTCACGACAACCCTGCAGGGGAGTTTTATGAATAATCCCTCATGTCTGTTTCAAACAGTTTTGCCCACTGTGCCTCTGGGTTTTCTCTTGAAATATGGAGTCTGACTGTGAAAAATTAGCCTTACTCTGCTATTCTGAATTGTTATATGACAGCTACCGGACAGAGAATGATATGAATAATACATGCTGTATATAATGCTTGGCGAATATATTATGCAAATAAGGACATATGGGCTATATTTATGTTTGAAAATAAATAATACATTAGACAGTCTGTTGAAGTTGTCAGAAAATAGGATTTATAGGATCTTTCTTTTGGTATAAGGATAACCAATAAATGCAATTGTTTATATTTTCTTTTTTATTACAAATGATATTGCACTTAAATGTCAAAATTACAATTATACACAATCATACTCTGTTGTTATTATTACCCTGTACTTTGATTGTCTTTTCTGTCAAGGGACTACAGATGCAAATTGCCTATATCTGGTGAAACTTTTTCTTTAATTGAGCATGGTCCCTGACAAATAAACAATAAATTCAAGTAAAATTAAAATAATGTAATCAGAAGAATCTTTAGAGCTTTATTGCCAAGTAGTGTTTTACACATACAAGGAATTTGCTGTGGTGATAAGGTGCTACACGTAGACAAACATACAGTCAACATAAATAAATGCAGAAATATATAAATATGGAATATAAGAACAACATTGCAGATATATATACGTGCATTATTCTGGGTCTGTGCCGTGCAGAAGTAATGCAACGGAAGAGAATGCTGCGTATAAATATATAAACTGACAACAAAGATCAACAATCAATAATTATAGTAATTATAGTAATGTGCTATCAACAATTCATAACAAGCATTTTATAATCTTTTCTACACTGTGACAATATACTTCACCATATTTTTAGCGTCATATAATGTTATACTGCAGGTGCTTTGCATACCATCATTATTAAAATTCAAAATGCTTATAACTGATAAACTTGAATGTCTGGTTAAATAAATCCATACAGCAAAGAACATACTGAGGCTTTTCTCCTCTGCTTCACCAGAATCTTTGAAAGTAAAATTGCACTTCAGGTGGAAATCAATATCTTGTTGAACTATTTCTTTATGTTCTGCATCTCAGTCGTGGTTCAGATTATCTCTGCTTGGAGCAGTAGGACAGAGCTCTTATGAGAAACAATTTATCGGACACTTTCTTCCAGGTGTTCCTACAAACACCTGGGCAGGCTGTGTGCTATCTTAAAACTTATGTGTAGGGTTTGAAAATGTCACAAATTGCAGTGAGCTTAACTGAGAGTAACACATTTTTACCCTTTTTTTTTTGCTTTCACCAGGGTTGTCTCATTTTTCAACAAACAAAGACTTGCCATCAGAAAAAAGAGGCTTTAATCACATAAATATCTTGAAAGTATACAGAGACATTACATAAGCCTGGTGCATATTCATGCTGTGTCTGCCTTTGTTAATGCAGTATGTGATATTAATTACCATGTGCTGAGAGGTAACTCACTTGTATAGGCATTGGAAATGTAATTAATTACATATTTAAGTATTGTGTATTTTTATGAAAAGATTATCTTGTAATTGCTTCTATGTAACTTTTGGATTGCACAGGCTCATGTAAGTCCATAGCCATAAAATCCTTTTTAATTTCAAAAATGCACCACAGCGAGTTGAACTGTAATGCTGATTTTCTTGAATTGTAAGAACATGCAGGCGAAGTCTGTCTAAGGTGGTGGAGAGACAAGGACAGCGACAAAATGGAGATTATCATACTGTAGGAGGAGGTTACAGCATCTGATCCCGCGCCCCTTCACGCTCCTCTGCATTCCTTTCCTTTCATCCTCTCTCCTTTTCTTTTTCTTTTACTTTCTTCTCCTCTCTTGCCTGCCTTTGCCTCGAGGGGTGGAGACACAAAGGGCTACAAAATGGAGTCAATAACAGTAGCAGGTTACTAAGATACCATCTTATCCCTCTCTCCTGTCCTCTCCTCCAATCACTACAGCATCACAGAAACACCCTTTCAAATATGAGACAACACACACATACAAACACCCACAGCGTTAGTATTCCACCCTGCAGAACAGTGTAGCAGTCTACTTTGAACTTCACTTGATAACAGCGGATCAGACAACTCCATCCAACTGAGAAACCCTCAGACCAAACCTCCAGGGAGATAGTTCTGGATAAGACTGAGGCTGAGTGTGTTTATGTTTGTCTGCCGTCTGTGTGTGGATTTTGCTGTGGTGACTGATGGATTCTGAATGTGTGTGTAGTGTATGTATCTGACAGTAAAAAGGAGACTAGAAATGCTAGAAATGAGAAGCTAGAAATGAGCCTTGGTTTGATGAGCTGCTTGGATAGTTTACCCAGCTGTTGTGTCTGTGTTTGAGTGACAAATGACAGAGATACAAACAACAAACAATAGACTATACTTCCACTGACAGCCCAGACCATGAAGGCCAACCGCCAGGCTGGGAGGAAATAGGGATGTCAGTGACAATAGGGATGACAGAAGTTTTTCTCTTCCACTCTTTGCTTCTTTATCTGCTTTTAAGCCAGTCTTTCTAGTGTCTGGTCCACACTTGAGAAACCAAATTTTTTTCCACAGTTGACACAAATACTCAAGATTTGAAGTGCCAGCCGAAGCAGAATATAAGTCTGGTAAATTTACTTGACACAAACTGAGATACAATACATTTGACTGTGCGAGGGCACAAAGTCCATGCCTTGCTTTATCCCAGTGCTGGCCCACTTAACACCAGGATGTGTATATATCAAAACAGAGAAATCATATTAAGATTTTCTTACTAATATACAAACTATAAAATTTAAACTTTTTTTCAATTATTGAATGAAATGATCAAAAGAATTTTTTATTTATTAAGGTCCACTTACTACTTACTACTTTAAGTCTGAAGAAATCTAATAAGATGCTATGCTAGTGGCGCGGATTACCATGAAATGTTAAACCGACCTTGAATTATAGTAACATCAGTGACCCCTAAGTATTCATGTAAATTATTCAATTTGGACAAAAATACCTGAACAACTAATGGCGGAGGGAAAGGGGTGTTGTCGCCATAACTCTGCAATTTTTTCTGGTCCGGAGATTCCTTCAACAGCGCAGGGTAGAGATGTCTTGCAGTTGTTAAGAACTCTCACTTCTTCCCAAAAATCATTAACATTGTTACCTATGAGCTTCTTTGCCATGGAATCAGCCCTCATGGCCTGCTCATTTGTTTGTATTTACTTTTCAGTGCTAATTAGTGATTGTTAGAATGCTGACATGCTAAACATAATAAACACAGTACCTGCTAAATATTAGGCTGCTAGCTAGCATTGTCAAGACATGTAACGCACATTTAAAACAGCATGGGCTGACCAAAGTGCTTTACAAATATATGCAGAAGAAAAAAAGCAGAGAGCAAGATGCAATAATAGCAATTTAAGTATATTTAAAAGCTGAAGAAAAGAGGTGGGCCTAAAGCTGTGCTTTAAATGACTCAGTAGAGGGGCCAGATCTGATGTGGTGGGGCAGTTTGTCATAGTGATTTGTCATTGTGACCAGGTTAGCA